ACCTGTAAGCGAAAAAATTCCATTGTGAGTAGTGCCAGTTTCCACAGCGTCTCATTCTGCTCTCATTTCTTGGGGAAAACAAATCTAAAGTTTGGTTACGCATTGTGTCCAAACTTGACGCAGGTGTTTACGTAGATTATCTGGCGACTGTGTTGTTTCGGTTGGAGGAGCAAGTGCGCCTCCGACGTTAATTTCTGGGGCTTGCGGAGCAATGGCGTACCAGGAATTTTTTATTTTTTTTTTATTTTGAGGGGGGGGGGGAGGTAGGGGGGCTGGGGTGGCTGGGATGCCCATGATTTGGAGTGCGGAGAGGGGCAGGGAGGGGTCGAAATGCATGTTTATATTATTTATTTATTTTACGTGCCCAAAAACCAAACCATGCAGGTCTCCTCTTTGGTGCACAAATATATAAACACGAACAGGAAAAAAAAAAAAAAAAACACATTGCAGGGTTTAAACACAAAGCAACAAACACACAATATTTAATGTTCGGCAGCCAGCACTTCTACTTGGTTCCTGAACACCTTAATGTCACTGTATATATCGTTCGGCATTTTCAATATTGGTAAACGGAGATTGTATCTGTAACAGAGGAGATGGTCTACAGATGGTGTAAATGCTGAAAGTACTGCGGGTCCTGGCGGAACGAGGAGGGGCATGACGGTCTACATCACGTACAAGCGAAGCACTGTCAAATACGCTATTTACGATTTTGTACAGAAATACCAAGTTGCGCTCTGCTCTTCTATTGGTCAATGGTATCAACGAAATCTTATGAAGCAGAAACGTGTAGTCAAAATAGAAACGGCGTTGGAAGTAGCGATCATAAACATTACGTATTATTTGTGTTGCATATTTTCGATGGTCATTGCTTGTGTTCTTGGTAACGAATTTCAGGCCACAGAAGCGAGCTCAAGCCTAGACCTGTAGGGCAAAAAATAAAGGTATAATGGGGACCGGTTCTTGAATGGCTGAGTAATGCGGCATGTAATACACAACATTCTCGCCGCCCTACCAACAATAAACGACACATAGTTTAGGGTCGGCTGAACTTCGGGGAGGGGGGGGGGGGCTTATAAGGCTTTAACCCCTCCCACCCCCCCTTCCCTGGCTACGCCCCTGTTGCGGAGTGACTTTGGATACATTCGATATCTTCTACTGTATTAAACTTTTCTGAGAGGGAAATCTTGCCACCCAATGTTATTGCGTTCAATCGTTGACTCAAGCTCCGGTGCTCAGTTGCCGGTGGAGAGCTTGCGAAAGGTCCCGACTAAGGAAGGCACGATCTGTTATGTTGAGCGTCACGCAAAAATTAGTATCCGGTTTCAGTTTCTTTTTTAAAACTTCCCCTTCTAGTGAGTCACACGAAGGCTTCATCCGGAGCGCTGTTTCCCTAGTGAGAGGTGGTGGGTATTAGGTTTGCCAACACCCAAAGCAATGCCATAGATAAGAAGAAAAAAAAAAATAGCCCATCGAGTGGCAAGGCTACGGCCGAAAGACATGGAGAATCATGCGGACTGTCAAACCTCTCTTTGTGGTTAACAGAGTGTTTACGGCTGAGCTTAGTCTAGTTTGTTTCCCGAAATGAACGGAAATGAACGGGGTCTTTTTTAGATGGCAAGTCTTCCTGCTTTCGTGCTCATTCCCGCTTCTTTTTTCCTCCGCAAATAAAAACGTAACGTGAAGCAAATAAGTTGTCAAATTATTGTAGCATTACTCTGGAGATCATGCAGTTAGTAACTCGTTACACAATTATAGAGAAATGTAATGGGTTATAAGTAATTTGTTACTTGCGGCAGATTACGTATAACTGTGTTAGGGTGCACGGGGTAGTTGGTTCTTACTGACAAAAGGACAAACAGCGTGCAAAAAACAGAGACAAAGTCGAATAGCTGCGCACAGGACAAGCTTCGACTCTCTCAACCGAGCTCTAATAAAAACCTAAATTAGGAACATCAAGCACATCACGGGGTTGTCAATCGACACGTATCTAAAAATGCAATCTCTTTGTTGTGTAAATTGAGCGACGTCTTGCTGACGTATTTCGTACGTTTTCTTTTAATCGCATAGGCTTCTAAAATTTCCCTAGTCATTCGATATCTGCCCTTGCCAATAATCTCTGTATTTTTGAAGATGGGCCGTATTTGTCTATCCTTCCTGTAGTAAGGTGGTAAGCTGGGCAACTTTGTACCGGTCGAACACGATGAAAAAATAGCACCTCGTCTTTTTGTGTCCTATATTTTTCATAGTGTCTATATATCCAGCACGCTGCCGACATTAGGGAGTTTCAAAATAGGTTGCCTCAAGTTAAGGCGACCCATAAGATATAGAGGGACACGAGGACAGAAATACTCGCGCTGCCGGCTTATGGAATAGGGTTTTTGGAATACGTAGCGTGACATGCTTGCGTTTCTCGCTTGCCGCGCCAATACGGCTAACAGGTGACATGAATAAAGTGAGAAATCAAAGGAAACGTAATATATATGTTTGCGCTTAACAAACACATTGTATTGCTTGTGTCGCAAATATCGGATGGGAAGGTCCGTCCTCCCCCGCTCCTGGGTACCATGTCCGCTCCTGGGTACCACGGCCGCATGCTGGACTAATAGAAACTCCGATCTATTAACAAAACAAAATTGTAGATACGATAACCTTCTGGTCTTAGTACGTTCTATACAAGCACGCACTAGTAACTCTTTCGAAATGGGTGGGGGGAGGGAGGGAGGGAGAGGGGGGGGGGGGAGGGATACCGACTCTAGAGGTTCTACGACTCTAAAGATCCAACGCCTCAAAAGGTCCATTATTGGACCTCCTGGCTCGTTGGACGTTTTCACGCGTTAGACCTCTTGACTCGTCGTGGATCTTTTGACAAATTGGATCTCTTGACGAGTTGGACCTCTTGACCCACATTGGACTTCGAAGAAAGTCGGAGCAAGAGGAGGAAAATGAGCAAAAAAATACAAAACAACGATAAATGACGGCTTTCAGTCGGCAAAGACGTGTGTGACGGTCACTGCAGTGCAACGGTGTGGGATCCCGCAAATAAAAACAAAGCAACAAAGAGGTGGAGGATGGGAGAAGAGGATACAGTGACCTCGGGGGCGACAGAGTTCTGGGATCCTGAATGGCTGGCTGTGTCACGGCGTTGTGCGTTTTCCGTTTCTATCGGCTGATGACCGAAGCCATCTCTTCGTGCGGTATGCTTGACTACCGGAGGAATTTCCCGAGAGTCGTGCGCGCTGTATGGTAGCGGGGACGCAAGTTGTTTCTTGAATATAGAAACCAAGTTCGAGTTCAAGTTCATGTTTATTGTTTTTATCCAACGGAGAGGGAGAAGGAGAAAAAAAAGCAGACTGGTTGTCGCTTGACATTGTTCCTCCTCCCCACTAGCAACAAGATAATATATTTTACATACTAGTGACTCGTAAAACAAGGTTTACATCGGAGTTAGTCGGTGAATTGTTTACGGGGTGTGATACGCAGCACAAGCTCAACTGGCAGGAAATGTTAGGTTTTGTGAATGATTTGGACAGCGTGATGTTTGTCACTCATCCAGAGGGTCAACATGTCTTTGCGCAGTACAGTGCCGATATGTCCAGTGCCATATCGGTGGATGAGAGTGGATGACGTGTACGTAGCTCAAGTACTCTACTCAAGTCACGGTAGTTCAACTACTGTTTTGAGTAGTTTAGTAACTTTTGAAGAACATTTTCACTTTGGTAATTATTAGTTTACTTTAACTATAATTTGCAGACAATTTATCATCTAGTTATAAATTACATTCAAAATTTAGTGTATTTTTTATTATCAATAAACATTCGCTCAAGTGCCAAAAAATATATCAACGGGTTACCTGATGTTCACAGAGAAGGGGTAGACAGTTAGCACAATTCAGAGAGAAAGATATTTCTTTCTGGTATGAACGACAGTCGCAACCGGGCGCGTAACGCGAAAGTGCGCCTGGAAGACTGTGTTTGAAGTGGGGCGGAGTAACCGCTGCATTAGCGCCGGAGACTGGCGCTTGTGACCCTAAACTTCCGGAGACAAGAAGTGCGCATCTTTGTTCAATTATTTAGTTTTTTCTTGGTTGTCTAATTTCTGTATTCATTTAGGGCAAACGCGAGATAGATGACGGACTGAGGACTCGTTTTTGGAGAAGCAGCGATCGAGAAATATTTGGGTAGTGGCGGGGAAAGAAGAAAACCGGCCGAAACAAGCTGGTAACCGCACGGAAGCGTCAGGTGATCTATTTGGGTTGACCTTGCCTGGCAAAACTTAGGATGTGGAAGACTTCCGGGCTTGGTGTTTTACACAAAGAAAACAATAAACAGTCGAGCACACATCGAGCACAATGAACAGTCAAGCACAGAAGCAAAACCTTCAGACAGTGTGACTCTGAATTAGGTTAACGGAATTTCATTTATGTATAAAACAGCTGTTCTTTGTTGCTATACTATAAGAAAAAAAAAAGCGCGTGTTTTAGTCTGGATATATTCAGTGACATTTCCGTTTTCCGTAAAACGTTAAGATACCACACGGCAACCATTTAGCGCTCGTAGTTTCCACACCTCTCTTACTTCCGCTGGTCAATTTTATGTTATCTGGTCCTTTGATCGGCAATGTTTGTTCGCTTGGTTTTTACTTTTTTATTGTGTGTACCAAAGTGAAGACCACTGTGTTCGTTCTTGGACACATTAAATAAAGATTTATTATTATTATTAATAATATTATAAAAAAGTAACTTGGAACGTAATTTGCTTCTTATTAAAGTAGTTACCAATTTACTGGAATACTTTGGAATCGAGCAATTTCTACTCTACCCAAATTGCTTTTGACACCGATACTGAGTAACTTAACTTTTTTTAGTAACTTGTACATGTGTGCGTCCACGCTCTCATCTCCTCATCTACTTCACTTTGTCTCCGTATATTCGAATTTCGGAAGTCCTTTAAATATACTGCTGAGTCCTGACTTCACACCTGTCTTCCTTGTGCCAACAGGACGGCCAGTCGCTGTGAACGTCTCGGTGTCTGTGCTGAACATCAGGTCCGTGGATGAGGCTCGTCAGGTAAGATGCGCCACTTTCCGGGCGAGACACGCATTTACCCATCTTTAGGTGAGGCTTTAGAGGTTAACAAGTGCTTTGTCTTAATCATGACTATATGTCCGCGGCTGACAAACCTATGTAATCGGTCTGGGCGTACCAATTGGGTGAGCCATCTGACCAATTGTTGATGTCGCTATCGATGGTCGACAGGGTCAATGATATTGAGTACAAAGCGCAAGATATTGAGTACACTTCGAAGATGGAAATAGTCTAAAGATGTGCGGGAAGCCAATGTGCGGGAAAGTTAGAAGGCTGGACTCACCATTTCTCCTAATGCGAACAAATAGAATTATGACTCTAGAGCTGTATAGGCAAATCTCCCGTTTGAAGTTGGTGTTATTTTTGTTACAATATAAATTTAGGCTTCATGTACATGATTACTACAGCCGTTAATGAGACGAACCACAACTCACCATAATCAGAACTCATTGACACCAATCTTCGCTCGCACTAATTGTTTCAACCATGTTGAAATTAACCTGAGACTGGGGTAGAGAAGAAACATCAAAAGGTAGAAGCGACAGAAAATAGACCGGACGGCAGGACGACGTCGTCCTGTCTCTTTTCTTTCCCTTCTACGTTTTAATGTTTCTTCTCTACCCCAGTCTCAGGTTAATTTCAACATGGTTAATATTCACCAGCTCGCCTGCACCCTTGCGATTTTTTCTAATTGTTTCAAGTTTTTCTTCTTTCCCCGCACCGTCACTGAATGGAATGGTTTACCCTCCGTCATTTTTTAGAGTGCGGATTTGTTTTCGACGCTGTTGATGCGTTTTATTCTGGAATGTTATAATTGACATATACGCGAATTTACAAGTCGTAAAGGGTTAGGTATTTCCAGCGTATTTTTTTTTTTTTACTTTGTAGGGTGATTTTTTTAGAACGAGACCTTTTGTACCTGTATGTGTATTTGTGCGTGCGAATATGATTCACCCTCTGTTTCTGATAGTTCGACTATTAATCCACTTTTTGTATGTATCCCCCTCCCTCCCCCCCGTTCCTGCTTGGGCCGACCGCTAGCCCGAGAAGGAGTGATGTTAGCGCAGTTTTAAGAATGTGCTAATATGCATCAGATGTTCCAGGAAAAAAAAAACCGTTTTGTTAGGTGATAGCAGAAGTGATAGCAGAGCATTTTTAAGAATGTGCCGTTATCGATTGGGTGGCGCTCTTCTCAATCACACGGACCCAGCAAACAGCTCCAGGTCGTAAGGTATTTGCTACGTCACCTTCGAGGGTTCAGTGCGGGTCGCAAGTTGGACACGGGAGCTGCGTGAGCGTTTGGCTGTGATTCTTTTGTTGAACGATTAAACCCTACTCTCAACCAGACGCTCACATACATCTTTTGTACAATTTGTGCCCCGTGCTGACTCGTCGTATGTATAACGTGGAAAATCAAGCGCCTCGGCCTTGCTATCTAGGAGGTACTGACCCTGTTCACCCTCTTATCCTTATATAGACCAATGTTTTTTCGCTATACATGACTGCTACCATCTTTTCGCGCTACATCACCGAGGTGATAGGACACATCAGAAGCTGGCATAGCCCACGGATAGACCATAGGTGTACGTAGGTCACTCGGCATTTCACACAAGGCCCAGTCATGAATATTGACGTCAGTGCCCCGGCCCTTGTCCAGACGGATTCGTTGGATGAGCGCACTCTGCAGAGTGCCTAACGCAAACTTCCCGCCAAGCTTAAAGGGACCGCGCGACGATATTGAATTGGAATGTTTCACACTCTACACGAGCTAATCGGGACCAGTGTGACCCATGACATTTGTTCGCATGCAACTCAATAAGCTCCTTTTTATCGGGGGGTAATTTCAAGAATAAAAACAGTCTTTTTTTTTTTCCAGTTCGTAAAGATAGCAGTGTTGACGTGGGAAGAGCGAGTTACTTATAGCGACAATATTCAAATGCAGCCCATAGATTAAATACGAGCACCGCGTGAGCACCCGATGTGAGTTCGTGACAATGAATATATGAATCGAGGAGCATTCGGGTTGGGGCTCATGTCTGATCGCGCCAATGACGGGGATAGCCGAGCTCGAATAATATATGGAGCTCAGCATGTGCTTCGTGCTTTGCCGAACGCTAGCGCGCAGCTACGATGAACATTGGTGGCATACGTGTAACCACACCAGATCACGTGGCCGCCCGTTCTGGCTGCTAGCTGAGGGTGTGTACTGCGTTTGTTCTGGCTGAGGGTGTGTACTGCGTTTGCTTCTACCTTATCGTTTTTTGCAACTGTCGCTGTACGAACAGAAAACGTAAAGCATCTGTCGTAAGTAATGAACGTCAGGATTAATTACGAGCGGTATTTACTAAAAGTAAAACCATTCCTTGCTCTTTTTAACGAGTGCATTTCGTCACGGCGGAGTGCACGCGAGCCTCTTTGAGTCAGGGGCACAACTCTCCCGAATGGTGAGCGTCGAGCCAAGAGAGCCCGGTTTATCATCTAGAAGACAAGGCCTGCGCATGACGTCATAACCAGTGGACTTCCGACCCGTTCCAAGTGGCAAACACGCTGAAGCTGGACGCCAGTGGCCGCCAAGCTGCACTCACGCGTTCGTCTTGGCGCGAGCTGGGCGCCGCTTTGTGAATCCAGTAGTGGTGACGTTTGGGGGAGGCGCACGCCTTGTCTTCTATCTTGTATTTGTTTAACACAGCCTACGACGCAGGCGGGTAAAGCGCGACAAAAAACAAAGCAGTGCACGCTAAAGTTTTACGTAGAGCTCGAAGCTTCCGAGAAAACGCCCCCGTGATTAGCGACACTTAAAACTTTGCACGCGAGAACCTCGGAGGCCACAAAGGAGGTCAAAAACGCACGGAGACGTGAGTAAAGACCGGTAGCATGTGACGTAGGGCGGTTTCTGCCTGAAAACACCGAAATCACTCGACAGTGAAAAGAGCGTCATTATAAGGCGAACGCTGATTAGACCATCATCGCGGCAGATTCGAACGTAAACTGAACACCGTCATCAAATCGAAAAAATTAACCCGTTGCGCTATTTGCCTGCCTGTCTCTCCCCAAGTCAAAGCAGCGCGTATTGGGTTACCAGGATCCTACTTCGTCCGGGATTTAAATATCCGTGTCTCGGCAAGGCTGTGATGGCCGCGTTAACCGCTTTTAGACTGCGGCCGATGACATCCCGGCACCACGCTGGCGCGCTGCCAGCGCCGACGAGCCCCCTGTGAATGCGTCGCGAGCAAAGAAGCGACAAGGTGTCTTCCGAGTGTCAACCGATTGAACACCTCTTTAAAGCTTCGTACGGAACCCTCCATGAGCCTTTCTTTCTCGTGTTGTTCTCACCGCATGCCATCAGAATGTCACGTGAAGCCTGAAGGTCATGCTGTCGCGAGGCATACATTTTCTCCGTTAAAATCCGCGGGCAAATTGTTACATGGCCAAATGATGTTTTCCCCACTAAACTTAGTTGTGAAGTTGATGTCGTGTGTCCTGGGGCGTCAATGACATCATGACGTCATGGTACCTCAGGTTTCCTGACGTCACTTTCCCCGCTAAATTGAAAGAAGAAATCGACGACACGTTACGATAATTTTTTTTAAACCCTTTTTAAGTGCTGTCGAACATTCGTGGCGGTCAGTCCTTCCTGTGCTAAGCGCTCGGTTGGATGAATGGTTTGCTTACATGATGTCAGGTCAGATTACGTCATAGGGGCATTTTATGTACGCGATATGCTCATTGTCGCTCGGTTGAAAAAGGGCGCCACTGGTTTGTGTGTCTACTATTAGCTTACTGGGGCGGTGACCCTTTAAAATTGTGCACGGACACGATTCTATAGGTTCTGTTGCTAATATTTGATGTCGTGAATCATATGAAGCGGGCCAGTAATACGTCGTTACTCATCATAAAAAAAAAGAAAACACATTTGACATTGCTTTCCCTTAAGAAACAATAAGTGCGATCACAGGAGTGGCCGGGTTTCTCGGTTACTGAAGGTCCGCTCATGTCTGCGACGGTATTGTGGACGGATTATGGAGCGAAAATTTCTGTCTTTTGTTTAGTGATTATAACGGAATGGCTTCAGATGAAGCACCAACTTGGGCGTTCAAGTGTCCTGTGTTATGTTAACTTGTGTGAACAAAAATAGACAATGGGCATATGTCGTGTTCTCTTTAAAAGATTCGCGCAGTGTACACCTCCAGAGAATTGAAAACCTAATAAAAAAAATTGAAACAGAAAGAAAAATGTTGCGTTTTGAATAATATGAAAGTCGAAATTCAAGCTCATATTTTTGTTTTGGGCGTCGCAGACTTTTTGGTTTTGTGTGCAAAATCACAAACTCTGAATCGTATGTTTCCAGCAGGGAATATTGGTGAATCATTTGCGTCAATTCAGCCACACAAGTTTGAGGGTGTTCTCCACGATGGACATGTAGAGTAATGCACTGAAGAGAAGCTTCCTTTCAGATGGAGCAGGGTGGCCTCCGTTTGTTCAACTGTACACACATTCCCAGGGGCTCGTTACGCGCTCCAATATGCGTTATTCGCCGAGTGTCTGCGCTCTCTTTTTATTTGTGCATTGATTTGTCATAATGTGTGGGCGTTTATTTCACTAAGAAAAAAGAAAAGAAGAAAAGTCTTCACGAGTATCCATGTTTTATTGGCTCGACTTGGGCGTCAAGCATCGACTCGAAATGGACGTCGAGAATCAAGCAGCACTAGGATAATACCGAGGCAGACTATAAACAAACCAAAATAATACGTCTCGGCTACCGGGATGACTACTCCAGAAGCCAGTCAAATATAGGCGTGAAAGAATAAACAATAATTGTTGTTTCATTTTATGGATTTTTTTTTTCTAGCACACATGGGACTAAACTGTCTCCCAAATAGAGTTTATATCTAGAACTCGACGCGAAAAGGAGTGTTGTCCTTCTAACCATCATTTTGATACTACAGCACGCTCATGTTCCTGTGTCATTGATGAAGAAATTA